AGCAAAGTACGAAAATCAGTAGAATAAATCACCTCTCACAATAGTAGAGAAATCTACTGTGGTAATCGTTTACTGTTAGCAAACTTGCTGAAATAGTCACAGAAAACCACGTATAGACAAAGTACAACAGCGAACTCGAGAAATAATGAATCCCCAACATGGCAATTTCCAATTAATGCGCTATAAGTTGCACAAATTATTTTCCAATTAATGCGTATTAGTAAAAACCCGATTTTGTTCAATGGCGGAAAGTGAAGGACTTAGAGAAATTCTTCGGGGTGAAAGGCACTTGAATTAATTTTAAAACTAACCTATGACATACTCAATACTGCATTCATTACTACTGTCTAGGTTTCAGTAAAATATTCTTAGCCGTTTTTCTATAGCGGCTTGTAAAACTATAATCAATAATAATAAGGCTGGAGACACTGTTATAAATATACACCTTGCTTACTCTAATAAAACGAATTGTTTCAATCAGTATAAAATGGAGCATTTCCAACTAGTATAGTGCTTAAATAGCTTCTACATTTCTGCGATGCTTGAACGGTTTCGAAAACGTTATGTTGGTAGTGAAGAAGAACTTAGAAAATGGTAGAGGGTGGAAATCTCGACTCTCAAGAATCAATATAAAAATAGCCTTACAACATTCGCAGAAGTTTGTTTACTAGTTGTGGATAAATGTTGGTGCAGTATACCTAGCCGTTTTTGTTGTAGGCTTTGGTGCTTGAATGGCTTCGAAGAGAAACTTGGCCAGTAGCAATGAAAAAAGTGATAAAATCTCTCTTTTTCTTTCAAGAATCAAAATAAAAATAGTCCTATGACCTGCGTAGGTGATATTTTTAGTAGGCTTTACCAGGTTTTAATAAAATATTCATAGCCGTTTTTTCTGTAGGTTTGTTTAACAAGAATGATATGAATAATAATAATATGAAGAACAAATGGAAAATCAACTTTTTGCTATTATCAATATTTTAGCAATCTTAGCCATTGAGTGTTGTTTCAAGAACAAATCTGCTTTCTAAGATGTTTTGTGACCGTATGTTCTATTAGAATTTTTGTAAAATTTCTGGGCGAACCCTATTATGAACCACTATCGTGGTTCATGATATAATATGAATCCATAATGTCAATAAAATTTAGTGTGTAGAGTTTGGGAGGCTACTGTCAGTCAAGATGGTTTTAATGATAATCCAGTTAGAACAGGTATAACATTATCTCCCTTATCATTAAAACTCAGCCCCTCATTGGTACAGCGGTATGTCTGCAACACTAGAATCCGGGTTTCGATACCCGTGGGGGCAGAGAACAGATAGCCCATTGTGCAGCTTTGTGCTTAATTAGAAACAAATAAAACTAAAATTCATTATCCTGTAAAGATATTTAACTTTCTCTTGCTCTAGACTGACCCATAAACGGGTCTTCAGGCATTGGATGGACTAATACTGATGGTGAACACTTCCTCTCCATTAACATTAATATCAAAAAAGCACGTAATATGATGAAGTAGTTCATATTTATGTAGGTTAAGTTTCAAGTCTACAATCTATGACGTGTTTATCCTGGATGAGCATCCAATTTATTACGTAACATATTACAATTTTGAATAGACTGAAACTGAGTTAATTGATAATTTAGATTTAGAAATTAAATAAATATCGATATACATCTAATTTATGATATTTGCCAACAAGAATGATACACACAGTTTTTAATACAAATATATTTTAATATACAAACAATAACACAACTTACAATAATGGTTATTACAGATAATGTTTTATGTACAAAAGTTTTACAAACTTACAAAACCTATTTAGTCCTCTATCTGGTCTGGAACTTCCTTGATATCTTATCGAGGGTTCACGATGAGCGAATTCTTTTTGAGTAGATGTAGATACAATTCACTTAACAGGGAGCTATCTAGCTCTGTATTTTTCTGTCTTTACTGGCCATACGCTGATTTATCCACCGCTGAAGTTATATAATGTTTTCGTAAACGTACTAATGTCCGATGTGAATCCGATTTAAATGGTTTGAAATATTC